AGCTGCGCGTGGTCGGAGGGCGATGCGACTGCATCGGGCGCCCCTCTTGCTCCTGGGGGCCGTGCTGGGGTCCTTGGTGCCCGGGAGCCGCTGCGGTGAGTTTCTGGAAGGGGTTGCGACCTGGTGGGAGGCAGCGGAAAGCGGGAGGTGGGGGGCGAGGTATGGGCAACGCGTGTCCTGCCTGGGTCTCTTCCCCCCCCCACACACACACGCATTCACCCACCGTGGGAAGGTCCTTTCCCAGCAGGAAAACGTCTCCCTTCCCTCCTGCTCCTCCTCCGCTGGGGCTGGCTTAAGCACTTTTTGTATTCAGATTGTGATAAGATAAGATAACCTTTATTGCCATTTTTTTTTTACTGGGGGCACAACGGCACACATCAAAAATGAAATTTAGTTGCCCGCTCTCAAAAGTGAAACATACATGACACACACCTAAAACATACTATGTACAACATATGTATAGACCCACACCCCTACATATACATAGCAAATAAATATTAAATATTGTCCATCTTGAATATATAACAGAAGGAGGAAGCTTGAGAGTTCACAAGGTTAATGCTGTATGGAATGAAACCATGGCTGAATCTGTATGTTCTGCTTTGGATACCACGAAGCCCCCTCCTCCCAGAAGGTAACAAGGAAAACAGGTCGTGAAGAGGATATGTAGTAGTAGTAGTAGTAGCAGCAGCAGCAGCAGCAGCAGCAGCAGCAGCAGCAGCAGCAGTAGTAGTAGTAGTAATAAAGGCAGCCTTACTAGCAACTGCTTCCATCCTGCAAGGATATCTGTAATACCATCAAACATCCACATCTGCCTATCCCAGGTCCTTGGGAAGGACTTGATAGGTAGACAAAATGCCAAATCCAGTCTGAACATCTGACTGACTGTGCGATGATCAATAATAAATAATAATAATAATAATAATAATAATAATAATAATAATAATAATAATAATTAATAATAATAATAATAATAATAATAATAAAGTTGGAAGGGACCTTGGAGGTCATCTAGTCCAACCCCCTGCTCAGGCAGGAAACCCTATACCATTTTGGACAAATGGCTGTCCAGTCTCTTCTTAACTTAAAAACTTCCAGTGTTGGAGCATTCACTGCTTCTGGAGGCAGGTTGTCCCAGATAATCTTACGGATCCTGCTCATGCAATGTGCTATGTCCTGGATGGGAGGGAGGGAACAGCCAATGACCTTTTCGACCATCCTCACCACTCTCTGCACCGCCTTTCTGTCTGAAGCAGTGATGCTTCCAAACCAGACTGTGATGCTGTATGACAGGATGCTCTCGATCGTCCCCCTGTAGAAAGTGGTCAGGACAGGGGAAGGAAGATGTGCTTTTCTCATGCCACGCAGAAAATGCAGGCGCTGCTGTGCCCGCTTCACCAGTTTCTCACTATTGAGTGACCAAGCCATCCTACTCGTTAGCTGCACACCCTAGGAATTTGATGCTGGTAATCATCTCCACAGGTGAATCATTAATGCACAGAGAAGCGTGGCTGTGCCTGCCTTTTCTGAAATCGGCAATGATCTCTTTGGTTTTTCTGGTATGTAAAACTAGGCTGTTTTCCTTACACCAGTTCACCAACCCTCCTTGCGGTAAGCTTCCACCTTGTCATCCTGAATAAGGCCCACTACTGTTGTATAATCCATTCCTGTTTGCATTTGAGCAAGGAAGTAAACAACGAACGGCGAACGATATTCAAAGCCCTCCCCCCCCCGCAGCTTCTCCTTTGGTTAAATTTGCTTCCTCTTATTTTATTTTTTTTAAATTTTCTGCTATCAACTTATGAACAAGGGCCATACACACAACACACGGAAGGTTTGAATAACCAGCGGCTCCCATGGGACAATAACATTTGGTGTTTAATTTGTCATCAGTTCCGAGTGACTTTCTGAGCAAGGAGTGAATGTCAAAGAGAGGACGTTTAGCGTTTTGCCCAACCTGTTCTTTCTGGGTCTCTCCTGAGCAAGAAGTGGAAGTCAAAAGACTATGTTTACAGTTCTCGTTGACTCTTTCTCCCCATCCCCCAGCCAGGCCTGTAGTCAGCTCTCTCCTGATCATAACTGTGCCAACTCTACAACGAACCTGGCTGCAGCCTTCTTAATCGTGCCACACGAAAGGGAGGGGGGATGGAGTCTCTATGTTAGTCTAAACCAGGCTCAGGAATTCTGGGAGTTGAAGTCCACGAGTCATAAAAGAGCCAAGGTTGCCTACCCCTGGTCTAAACAATACTGTGCCCCGTGGGAACCAAGCTCATTCTCTCGCTGGGGAGATGGGGGGGGTGGGGGTGTTGTGCATTTTGTTGGAAAGCCCGCCTGTCAACGCTGCTAACATTGGATGTTCTTGCTTTGACAACATATGAAGATGCAGCCTTTTTCTTTCTTATGCTTTACTCTTAGAATTAGATGATGCTGGGGGAGGAGGCGGAATGTGGTGGGAGTTAGTTAGACATAACAATATTGTACTATCTGTGAAATAAGAGATGATAAGAATTGGCAGGGTAGCAGAACAGGAGGGAAAGCCTGCATTTCAAACTAATTGAACAATGTGATTTATGATGGTTAATTGAAGGAGGGAATTGTGCTTTGATACTATGTGCTCAGGCGAAGTTCTTTGAAGAGTTTCATCTGTCGGAACCATGACACCTGGCCAAATTGATCTATTGGGTAGTGTAAATTATTGTTTTGTACTGGGGTGGGAACTTTTACTTTGTAATAGTGTAACTCTTTGGAGGGAATTTCGGACATGGTTTCATTTTTGATTGTGCGGATATTTTGCATCCAATAAACACATTATTTGAGGAAGCTTGAAGCCTCGGGGTTCTGATTTATTTGGTTCCATCTATCGGAACCTTGAAAAACAGTCTGGACTGTGATTGAGGATGGCTTCATCCGGGTGTGGTGCAGATTCCTAGACCCTGAATTCTCCATACTCTGTAGGGTGCAAAACTCCAAGCAGCTCCTGTCCTGCTGGTCTTCTAGGTGGTGGGCATGTAGGGTCCCATGGGGTCGCCCTCACTAGATTTGCCCAGCTGTTTCCAAGGTCAGCCAAGAGATAATAATAATAATAATAATAATAATAATAATAATAATAATAATAATAATAATAATAATAATAATAATAATAATAATAATAATAATAAAAATAAAAATGAAGTTGGAAGGGACCTTGGAGGTCATCTAGTCCAACCCCCTGCTCAGGCAGGAAACCCTACACCATTTCAGACAAATGGCTGTCCAGTCTCTTCTTAAAAACTTCCAGTGTTGGAGCATTCACAGCCTCTGAAGGCAGGTTGTTCCACTGATTTCCTGAATTTCTGTCAGGAAATTCCTCCTTAGTTCTAGGTTGCTTCTCTCTTTGGTTAGTTTCCACCCGTTGCTTCTTGTCCTGCCTTCAGGTTTATTGGAGAATAGCTTGACTCCCTCTTCTTTAGGGCAGCCCCTGAGATACTGGAACGCTGCTATCATGTCCCCCCTCGTCCTTCTCTTCATTAAACTAGACCAGGGGTAGGCAACCTTTTATGACTCGTGGGCTTCAACGCCCAGAGTTCCTGAGTCAGCCATGCTGAGGGGAAAGGGAGAGGTTTCCAAGCTGAGCCATGGTGGCTCAGGAATTCTGGGAGTTGAAGTCCACAAGTCATAAAAGAGCCAAGGTTGCCTACTCCTGAACTAGACATATCCAATTCCAGCAACCGTTCCTTATATGTTTTAGCCTCCAGTGCCCTGATCAGCATTGTTCCTCTTTGTTGCTGCTTGAGACTTCTTTCAGGGTTAATCTCATGACTTGAATCTTCCAAAGTAAAGCAGACAGTTGATCTTCCTGTTGGAGAGCTGCTTTTCACGATAGCATTGAGGGAGGAGTTGGAGCTGCAGACCCCTCCTCAATTCTATTCTCCACCCTCTTCTCCTTCCAGGCTCCTCCAAACACTCCCTGTGCTATTCCTATCTGAAGGTGTCAGAACCCAGCCAGGGGCTGCCCCAGTTCCTCTCCATGGTCCACCTGGATGACCAGCCCATCGCTCGCTTTGACAACCACACCAGGAAGATGAAACCTCTGGTGCCCTGGATGGAGATGGAGGAGACAAAGATCTTTGTGGCCCCTGAATGGATGTTCAGGGCTGACCTGGAGACATTATCAAACTTCAACCACCAGACTAGAGGTGAGCAGAGGCTGATCTGCCTTCAAGACCCAAATTCTCCCTCCAATCTTACTTTTTGCCTCTTGTCACTTTAATTATCAGGAGAAGGAAAGAGGCAAAATCCTAAAGTCCAAAAGTTTTGGAAAAAACAGCGACTCCTCAGATTCTTCCTCAGAGATAAGCTCAAGGGAGGAGGAGCTCATTCTTGACACATCAGGAACTGAGTTAATTAATGACTCTGAACAGCTGGCTGAATGGAGGAGGCTTCAGCTGGGGAAAGCTTGAAGGGGCTAGCAAAGAGGAGGAGGAACTACCTTCTGCACCTGATCCGAGAGCATGCAGGGCAGAGAAAAGGCAGGAGCAATGGAGGTCAGCCAGACTACTTGGTAGGAGAAGGCCCCGTCCATCTTGATGGGCTGCACCAGAAAGCTGGCTATTTATCACAGCAGAAAGAGGGAGGCGTTGCTAGGAACAACTTGTTGGTTTGCTGGCTGTTTGTTTGATCGTCCTGCTTCAGTGTGTTGGAATTGTGCCTTCTTCTTCTTCTTGTTGTGCCATATCCGTTATCGGACGTTGGCGATCATGTTGGCGATCCTGTTTTTATCAGCAGCCGCACAAAAAAGTGCTGCTGAGTTTTGTCCAAACCAGTCCCTTAGATTTTGAAGCCACGATGTTCTTCTTCTGCCTGGGCCTCGTTTGCCTTCAATCTTTCCCTGGAGGATTAAAAGGAGTATGCCGTATTTTTCTGGGTGTCGCATCACATGTTCGAAATATTCTAACTTTCGTTTTTTAATTGTTTGGATGATTTCCCTTGGCTTTCCCAGGCGGCTGATCACCTCCTCATTTCTGATCTTGTCAACCCAGCTTATACGTAACAGCCGCCTATAGATCCACATTTCAAATGCTTCTAGTCCAGTGGTTCTCAACCTTTTTAATGCTGCGACCCCAACCGGTCGTAAGTCGAGGACTAAACCGCTTGTAAGTCGAGGACTAAACCGGTCGTAAGTCGAGGACTACCCAACCGGTCGTAAGTCAAGGACTTTCCCTGCCCGGGAGCGCCGCGCATGCATGGTTCTGCCCCCTGCGCCGGCTGAGGCATAGCTGGCAAGCGGCAGAGACAGAGCAGGCCGACCACCAGCTGGCCCACCGCAAGGGAGGTAAGGCACCCGCTGGAAAAGGGAAAAAAAATGGCGGACAAAAATAATGGCGGACAGCCTTGCTTGGCGACCCCCATGAAATGGTTGATCGACCCCAAATGGGGTCCCGACCCACAGGTTGAGAACCACTGTTCTAGTCTCTTCAGGTGGCCTTGGGGACTCTGAACCTTTCTTGATATGTGAGCTTTATTTGTGTGTGTATTTAATTCTGGCCTGGTGGATTTAAGTTTGTTTAGTGGAGCTATTGGTTTGAGCAACTTTCACTTGCTTTTTGGACTATTGACCAATTGCTTTTTGGACTAATCTTGGCTTGCTTGTGGCTGGACTTATTGGGACAGTTCTGAGTATTGGTAAGGGGAATTACTGGGGAGCATTACTAAACTCACTAAACCACAGTTATGCGTGTGTGTGAGTGGGGCATCACATAACCATGACCTGGATGATTGAGAATTTCCAAAGCAGGCCAAGACTAGAAAGTGGGTGGCTGGGAGCTTCGATGGTTGATATGATTTGGAAAGGAAAATATCATTTGACTAAGCCCAGCATGATTTTTCAGGATGCTCGTAATATAAGCCCCACCTCCCAAAATAAGCCCCAGTTAAGATTGTCAGCCAGACGGATGCATTTAGTACCGTATTTCTATGAAAATAAGACCTAACCGGAAAATAAGCCCTAATGAATCTTGTGTCAACGCTGCAAATACTGTATATTCTTGCTTTGACAATATGCAGAACTGTCTGGTATTTTTATAGTTAAACCAGGCAACAGGGAAAAAGGGAGGAGAATAAGGATAGCCCGGGAAAAAGAAACCGGAAGTAAATCACATCTTCCAAGTTGATTAGAAGATGTGAACCATGACCCCAAAAGGGGGGGGGGAAATGCTTAGAATGTATATGCCTAACGGAAGAGAAGCCAGACCTAAGCATTTCCACCATGCTGTACTGACGTCTCTGTAACCTTAATAAATGCTTTTAGGGAAAAATATGCCTGAAAGTCCTTTTAAGTGTTTCGTTAATCAGACACATGACATCTTGTGCAGCAAAAATTAATATAAGACCCAGTCTTATTTTTGGGAAATTTATGGTACCAACAGTTGCAAGGGGCATAATGGTGAGAGATCCTTTCCTGTAAAAGAATAAAACCATCTCCTCCCCCTTCAAGATATCTTTCATGGTCTTCATGATCTGGCACTATCTCCAGAAGACTAAGTACAGGCCCTGATCACAAAAGAGATTCCCCACCCCATTGAAAGAAAAAGAGGAGGAAAGATCCAATTTCCTGGTGGGATGTTGTTCAATTGCTAAATCGTGTCCAACTCTTTGTGACTCCATGGACCACAGCATGCGAGCCCTCCCCAATCCTTCACTGTCTCCTGGAGTTTGCCCAAATTCATGTTCACTGCATCAATGACATTATATAACCATCTCATCACCTGCTGTCCCCTTCTCCTTTTGTCTTCCATCTTCCCCAACACCAGGATCCAATGAGTCCTCTCTTCCCATTTAGTGTTTGAGCTTCAGTTTCAGCTGGTGAGATGGAAGTAAACATTTGAATCAAGTGTGGGGTGTCCAGGGGAGAGGAACTCTGGACTATTCCCACTCCCCTCTGGGTGTCTTTCAGGGCCTCACATCTGGCAGGCGATTTTGGGCTGTGAGCTCTGGGAAGACGGGAGCAAAGGAGGGTTTTTGCACTATGGCTACGACGGGATGGACTTCATCAGCTTCGACAAGGAGACCCTCAGATGGGTGGCAGCTCAGCCCCAAGCCGAGAAGGTCAAGGAGAAATGGGAGGATCTTCCAAGATGGTCCCTGAGAAACAAATTCTTCCTGGAGGAGACCTGCATTGAGTGGCTGCAGAGAAAGCTGTACTACAGGAATGAGACTCTGCAGAGGATAGGTGAGTGGCTAAATGAGTCCTATTGTGCAATTTTTTGTAGGCTCCTGCCTCTTCCCTTCCTCATATTATTTCTTTTCTGCCCAGCACAAAATGTGCCTGGAACAAAAAGAGCTGGGCATTTACCAAATCAAAATTCAGGTCAGGGGAACTATCCTTTAATGCCCCCCTCCCGAGTAAGTTCTTCAAAGATAACAAAAACGAAATGAAGTGAGCAAGATATTAAGATTGAAATCCATTCCCATTTCCATGAGGAAATCCTGCAAAGCAGAATAAATTCTAATCCTCATCTTCTGCATTTGGGGCAGGACTAAAAGATGAGTTTGTTCCTGATTTCCATCTAGATAGAACCAACCTGAAAAAATTCAATGTGGGATGTCAACCCCCAAGCAGTACAATTATCTTGGTCAGAGTGAGAACTTTACCCCAAAGTCTATGTGTCTCTTTCAAAAATAAAGATAAAGAGTTCAATGCCCCCATCTTTGAGGGGCCTGGAGGTTCAGGAGAGGAGAGGGAACAGGGGGAGAAGATGACCAAATGAGGTCTTGCCTAATTTTAGATCCTGGGAATTGTGTTGTTGCTGTTTCTACAGAGCCCCCAGTGGGGAAGGTGACTCGTAAGGTGGTTGATGACCGCCTGGAGGTCCTCATCTGCCAGGCCTTTGGCTTCTACCCCAAGGAGATCCAGGCCACCTGGACCAGGGACGGAGAGGTCTGTGACTACGAGACCCTCCCTAGGAATGTGGCCCCCAACTCGGACGGGACCTATTATGTCTGGCTCAGCATTGATATTGACCCCAAGGAGAGGGACCGTTTTTGGTGTCGCCTGGAGCACCAGGGCTTGCAGGGGCCCCTGGTCTTAACCTTGGAGGAGGAATCAGGTGAGAGGCTGAGACATGTCACGTATTTGGACCAACACAGATTCCCTCCCATAGACCGGTACGCTCCCACAGAGTGAGTCTCCTCAGGGTGCCGTCGGCCAAGCAATGTCGGCTGGCGACCCCCAGGGGGAGGGCCTTCTCTGTGGGTGCCCCCACCCTCTGGAACGAACTACCCCCCGAGATCCGGACGATTCCGGATCTCCTTACTTTCTGCCGCGCCCTCAAGACATGGCTNCTAGGGAGGATTTTAAATCGGGTTTATCTTAAGAGTAATTTTTAAATAGCACAGCTTTAAATATTTGGTTTTAATTGGTTTTACTTCGGTGGGGTTGTAAATGTGTTTATGTTTTTTAATATGTTGTGAGCCGCCCTGAGTCCCGTTGGGAGAAGGGCGGGATATAAATCAAATAAAATAAATAAATAAATAAATAAATAAATAAATAAAAAACACTCAAAAAATTCTTTTTTCCCTCAATGGGTGTTGGCCTTTCGTTGGGAGCACTGACGAGAAAACTCCATTTTGCTCCTAGCTGCTTAACTTTGTTGCCTAGTTGTTTGTAGTCCCTCCCTATTGCATTCAGGTTGTTTGTTGTGTCATTCATTCCAATGTGGAGGAGGAGGAAGAGGTAGTAATCTCTGGGCTAATTATTTTGGCTAGGTTCTCAGCTACATCTTTGATTTTTGCTCCAGGGAGACAGCATACCTCCCTGGATTGTATGTTTGGTCTACAGATGGATGATTCTGTTCCTTTGAGGATAGAATCTCCTATTATCAACACTTGCCTTTCTATTTTTGGGGGGGGCTCTGCAGTCTGGGGTGCTTTTCTGATGCTGCTTCCTATGCTGCCGCCATCTTGGACTCGATCTGTGTCCAAGTGATTATTGACAGGGGAGTTGGAAGTGGAAACTTAAGAACAAAGATATGAAAATGTCTGAAATGATATAGATCAGTGATGGCGAACCTATGGCACGGGTGCCAGAGGCGGCACTCAGAGCCCTCTCTGTGGGCACGTGCGCTGTCGCCCCAGTTCTAGGCCTTCAGCTGGGTTTTATAAACCCTTTTCACTTTAGGCCTCCGCCGCCGTGTGCAAAAAAAAAAAGGTTCAATCAATCAGTCAATTTCAACTTCTCGCGGGAAAAAAAAAGATCTTGCAAAGTTGGAATTGATTGATTGAACTTTTTAGTCCCACCCAGTCTGCCATTACCACTGCAGCCACGCCCACCCAATGGGCCACATCCAGCCAATGGGCCATCCCCACCCAGCACCTGACGATGCATAAGTGGGTTTTGGGTTGCGGTTTGGGCACTCGGTCTCTAAAAGATTCACCATCACTGATATAGATTCTCCTGCTTGAGCAGGGGGCTAGACAAGAAGATCTCCAAGGTCCCTTCCAGCTCTATTCTATTCTAAAATATGACACAGTATGATACGTTCTGGAGATAGAAGATATGAGAGACACAAAACACACTTCCCCCCCCCTTTCTGGTAGAATTATCTGATGGGACAAGTTGCACTAGGTCATTCAATGCCCCTTTCAGCAGGGGAGGCGGGCCAATGTCAGCTACTTCAGAACTATTCATTTTACAAAACTATAATACTGTAACTATTGCAGTCTGCACATGCTTCCTCTTCCCTCCATTTATCTTCATGTAAACAAGGAGTGTTCTGTGAGACACATGTATTTAATCTGATTTCTTGGCCCAGGCTGAAGCGCCATTTATTTGACTGCCACCTTGATTGTGGCTCTTCCTTCTGCCCTTCAAAGCCGTTCGCTCTGCCCACTTGAGACTTGTAGGGGAGGGGCTTCCTTCAGGTGGAGACACTGCCTGGAGGGTCAGTTCAGGTGGGGAAATGCTTCCGTTGCTTAGCATCTCCATGTCATGTTCCGGTTGAAGAGCCCAACAAAGTAAACACACAGGAGGCATTGCAATCCCCTAATGTCAAACTTTATTAGGCATAGCATACCGGCAGGGTAGAAAGAAAGCTAGCTCTGGCAATATGGCAGGAAAAAGATAATTAAAAGAGTAAAACTTTCCCTCCCCTCTCTGACAGCTCAGCTCAGATTGTCCAATTAGCCTTCAAACATTTGTTACAAGAAGAAAGTCTCTCTTCACCAAAACATCTCTCCAGTGACTTCGGCTCTCACGTGGATAGGGAACACCTGTGGACCCCAAAACTTCCTCCTCCCCCCTCACAATTGTTAGCAAGCTAGAAGCAAGATGGCAGTTTTAATGACAAGAATCTTCATAGCTTGACACTCCATGTCGGGGAACTCAGTATCTGTCTAATCAGAATCATGTTTCTCTTTCTTTAGCTATAAAGTCACTTGGTTTTCTGGCATTTCCGTTTATCATCTTGGCATCTATGAGTCTCCTGATCTGTAAGTGAAACACATCTATTGACCCAAACCCTGTGTCTTTTTACGTGGACTGATCTGGTGTGGGTGGGAGAGAGCTTCTCTGAGAGTTGCAATCAGGATCCCCAGGAGACCCTTCCTCACAAACAGCGTTTTGAATGAGAATTAGAAAGGAAGAAGAAACGATGTAGATATTTCCCCACTTCCTGTAAATGTTCAACCTTGCTGTTGTATGGAAGGGAGCCTCCTTAGCCTCCACTGACTTTCTTCAGAGGAGTAACTATTAAATATCAGGGGCTCAGGAAAAGCTTGATTAATAATCTCTGACGTGCCAGGAAAACCATCATCTTGCCCTGAAAATGATCCCAGTGCCTTCTCACCTGAGAAGAGGGATCTTCATGTAAGCTTCAGGGAGGTGAGCCATGGAGGGACGGGTGCCATGTCATCTGCCCCTGCTTGCAAATCACACTTGGGAATGGACAACAGAGGGGAAGGTCCAACGATGGAAGGTATTACTGCTTGCTTGGCTCAGAGCAAGAGACGTGAGATGTGAGAAGTGTCTCCTCAACTGAGCTTCACCAAGTGTGGCTCAGTACATCCATGTTATTTTTTTCAGCAATGATGTGCAAAGGCGTTGCCGTTTCTTTCTTCCCAGATGTGCCTGTTGGACTTGCTAGCAATTTGTCTCCCTTGCTTGCCAGTCTCAAGTGCAAATATTAAGACCTTGCTTAGCTTTTCAAGATCAGCCAAGGATAATGGTGCTTAGATCTTGCCTGGTTGGGATTAGGGTTTTGGAGTAGAAATCAAAACAAATGTTGCGAGAGTTGGATTCAGAATTACCATGTCTGGAAGAATATGGGGGACAACATCTGTCCTGTACCAATAGCAGAATTCCCAGAAGTTGAACATCATTGCTTAAAAGTAATTGAGGGGGGCCAAGGTCCTCTTGGGAACAGCCCTGGTGGCCAGTTTTGAATGGCTTCAGTGGGGATGGGAAAAGCAGGACTGTGATGTCCCATCAGAGCTCTAATAGGAACACAGGCACTTTCAACTTGATTATTGCTTGATATCCCCAGGAATATCCCTTCCAGTTCCCCATGGTCAGCACCTCTAGACCAGGGCTTTTCAACCTTTTCACCCATTGTACCATTTTTAGGATATGGCAACATCCGAGTACCACCAGTCGCCTAGCAAAGTGTCAAAAATTTGATGACTCCCCCCCCAGAAAAGGAAAAAAGTGATGAAGTACTGGTAGTCCTCGACTTACAACAGTTCACTTAGTGACTGTTCGAAGTTACAATGGCACTGGAAAAAGTGCCGAGCAAGACACCTGCCTGCCCGCCCGGTGGCACTCTTCCTCCTGTCCGAGGTTTTCATTGTTGTGAGCATTTCTGTTGAGGATTGGCAGCAGGGGTGGGGTGGGGGGCGTGTTTGATTTTTATTCCCCCCCCCCCATCTGCTGGGTGGTTGCAGCAGGTTTTGGTCATTTCACATGACTCTGGGACACTGTGACCATCATAAATATGAATCAGTTGCCAAGCATCTGAATGTAAATCACAAGACCCTGGAGATGCTGTATAAGGACCAAAATGGAATGTAAATCACAAGACCCTGGAGATGCTGTATAAGGACCAAAATGGAAAA